TCACACGCGCACGCTTGGACGATGAAGCCATGTTCAACGGTGAAACTTAAAATGTCAAATTAGTGTTGTGTAGTATTTTCAAATGTCGCTCACCAAACTCGCTACATGATTCGTTTAACATGTCAACGTCATACAGACCAAATATGGAAAGAGTCGGAAGTAACGCAATACTCTTCCGGAAATGATGGGTGGAATTCCACCCCTAAGCTCAGGGGCTGCTGGGATATCTTTTAATTAAAAGATATATCAGACATACAAAGTATCATTTCTATCAGGTCAATATTTTATCGTGCTAAGGTGCTCTGAGAGGTCCTAGAGCAAAACAAGGAAAATTTCAATCCAGGCTCTTTCATTATTAAAATTTCGCGGTGCACTTTGCTTTCTTTTCTTTGAGGAATGTTAGGTTTTGAGAATGAAGACGGGTCCCCTCCCGGAGTCAGCTTAAATGGCCATCAAGAGGCCAAGGAGTCGATATTTGGCGATGATAGTTGCAAGTATCAGCTACATGAGTTTTTGAAATCAGATCGAAACGAAATGACCATCCTACTATGTGGCAAGACAGGAGTAGGAAAGTCACATTTGACCAATGCACTTATTGGAAAAAATCTCACGAAAGAGGATCATACTCTGTTTACAGAGACAACCGGAGTGAGCAGATTCACGACTATCTAACTCAAAATTTCTGTTCATAATCATAACCATTACAATTTCCTCAAACGCGACTCGCGCATTAGCTGTTTATTTTTATTAAATATTCTATAGAGTTGTAATCAGACAATGCCCCCATCATAGATTTTTTCTCAAATAAACTTCATAATGTGTTTTTTTTTTCGGAAATTGCAATGGTCATGAATAATTGATAACAGGAATTTGTGTTGTCCAATTCGTTCTGTAGTAATATACATGAAAACATCACGCACTTCTGATTGGCTGGAAACGAGTGATTTTTTTAATGTAACGCGAGATCACGAGTGCAAAGTTGTAACATGAGTGCAAATTACAAATGACGCACGCTGTCAGATTTTCGTCAATTTATCATCTTAATGCTTTCCTACGCAAAGTGAAAAATATTGTCCTGCTAAGTGTTGATATCAAATTACCTTGGTGCTTGTGAAAGTTAAGCTCATAGAGTATTTATCAGACGTAATGCAAAAAAGATCTGAACAAGAGAATTGCTGCGGTTAGGGATCGAGTTTGTCTGCAGAAAGAAAATTCGAAATTTATTGGTTTTTTTTATAGAGACTGGTGTATTCTTAAAATGTGAACTAAAATTTTTATTTATCATCTTCTGGTCTCACTATCCCTTTATGGAAATGCTCTTACAGGAATACTGTTATCTAGATAGAGAAATGATAAATTACACAAGGTTCAAGCTAACAGCCAGCTTCCGACGGCAGCCGAAACTTTTGCTTAGGGTTATGGAACTTTTTTTTCACCAAGGAACTAGAATTTTATTGAAAATATTATGCTTATTGATCTTTCGACTGAAGTTAAAGTCGCTGTCATATTATGGTGAACATTTCATATCAGGCAATAAAGCAACCAATGTTTTGAAGGCTGCTTGCAAACGTAAACGAATATAAAGTTTCGAAATTTGAAGCGTACGACAGGGAGTATTTTTGTTTACAATATCTAGCTTTCTACGTTTTCTTTAAGCGTGACATCAAAGGCGGCCCGAGCTCCAGCTGTGAGGTGATCATCTTGCGCAATAACAGTTATGGCGGAATTATAAGAATTTGTATGGGAATATTTATAATCGCTTTAAGGAATAAAAAAATACGTCAAATTCTCAATAAAAATACCTCACCTTACTTCCACAATGTATGGAGGAAGAGAGAGAAAACTAGCGAATAGCTGACGCCGTAGTAGTTCTCATTGAAAGCTTTTTTGCATCTTAAAAATTTGCATAACTTAAATTTTTTGCAAAAAGTTATACATTGGTAAAGCTAGATGACCAATTCCGAGAACACGTCCGCGATGTAGAAAGAAATGACAAGGACGTATCCAAACCAGTCGCTAGACAATTTAATATCCCTAATTATTCTAAGCAGCCAGGAGCCCATTACTTAGGCTCCTGAAGCAGCATATGGCAGTTTTCGGCCTTTCCCTACATCTGGGCAGTTCGGAAAGCTGCAAAACTCTAGAACAAAAATTTATCTTTCAAATAGACACTCTTGATCACCACCGTATCAACGAGCGCTTTTCATTCAACAAATTTGTTATTGTTGTCTCCTCACCATATTCCCACCAATAGCGTAGCTCCATTTTCTGCAAATAAAGCCACCCACAATCCACAATTCCTCTAATCGCTCTGACGAAGGGTTTAAACGAGTTCGAGGCGTCAGCTTTTCAACTCTTTGCAGTGGATAGTACTAAATTACCCCATCTTCACGAAAGACTGAGCATTTGCCTTGCCTTTCAAGGTAGGTTGAATGGATTAATGTGTGCAACTGATTAATTTGCAACTGATTTGCCGATAGTCGCCTAATAGTCCATTACAGCAACAAGGAAGACGTCGATTTAAAAATGAATATATATTTTCAGTTGGAATATCGCGAATGACTGGATGTGCTTACCATCTCTTACGGCGACGCAATTTAACCTCGGCATAACGTATGAGAGCGACGTTGGTTTCCAAGTGGAAGATTTCTTTTCTCGGAAAACGCAGATTTTGATGATTTCACGTTGTTAGCTGCGACTTTAAGCAAACGACGACGACGAAAACAACGAGGACGTGGCAAAACAAAAGATCTAATTGGCAGAACAATTGCTCAGCTTGTGCAGTTTTAAAGCTTTATACATTTCTTAGCCGTGCTCTGCAAAACAACAACGTGAAATCACCAAAATTTGCGTGTTCTGTTTACGGAAAAGGGTTAAGGTATAGCTTTGTAAACAGTAAACACATCCAGCCATTTTCGAAATTCTAACTAAAGATAGAATCGAAATCTTCCCTGGCGTAGCTTCCTGACTGCTTAAGGTCCCTGTTTTGCAGAGGACGGCTAAGAAATGAAAACAGCTTTAAAAGGCAAGCGCTGAGCCGATTGTTCTATTGTTTTTTCACGGCCAAGTCATCGTTCCGTCGCCGTTTTTTTTTTTTTAATTTCTATTTTTTCTTTTTTATTTTACATATTTCAAATACAAATTACAGACATAATTAAAGTTACTACACAGAAACAAGGAGGTTTGGCCAACAACAGCCGCGCAATTGCTGTCGTGAGGATTTTTATTGATAAGACATTTAAATTCACTAGTACAAGTCGTCGTGGTTTGCTGAAGGTCCCTAGTATCTTTCGATGCCGTCCCATGCTTTCCCAAGCCGTCTGTCGTGTATTCGTGGTATTTTTCGATAAAAATCCGGTTTACATTTGTTCAGGTCTTCGCTAGTTGTCGCCGTTACGAATTAAACATCACTGG